GTAGATGTGTATTAAAGATGTATAGTATTTTTTAGAGATGAATAACTCACATATGTTTCGGGTGTGGTCATTAAAATACAACACTTGTGAATGATGCTTTTAGAGCAAGCATGTATATTGATATTGTTTATAATCTTATGTTAGCGTTATGTTACTGAATATACAATTAGATTTTGTGTATTTATTAGTGTTATGTTTTCATAATATTAACCACTTGATTGAGTTGCCTCTTGTATAGTCCCAAAAATACGACCAAAATGTTTCATTTTTAAATTCATAAAACCAGTATCCAAAGAACATCATAATAAAAATCCACATAAAACAAATGTATCAAACAATGTATCACATCATAGTAAATCAAGAAAATGTGGAACGAGATGGTGTGTGCCCTGCAATCATCCCGAGTTTTTCCTCCTGGAACTGGAAGTACCTGAAACATAAACTGAAAACTGTAAGCATAAAGCTTACTGAGTTCCCTAAAATACCACATACCATACATAATAAACATATAATGGGCCCTGCCCGACATCGAGCCCTGCTGGGTATAGAGATCAGGCCCCGCCCAGCATACATATAAACATATATCATATAAACACATACACATGCAGTTATCACATAGATACGCCCGATAAGCATACAAGTACAAAACACATGCAAGAGTCACACACACATCTAGCACCCTAATATAACATAATCATGGGTCGGCATTGGTGTTGGGTTATGAGCATAACATTATTCCTATGGTGTACATGCAACCCTAATTGCTTTGATCTAGGTTTTTATAATTTGAACATACAACATTGAATACCAAAGCAACAAACCCTAATCTAGCATGCTTATTTCAAAATTGACATAATAAACAAGTTAGAATGATTGCCTCAATGTGTTATGTAGTAATAACAAGAACTCCTTGACCTTTGAAAGCTTAGTGCCCTAAGTGTTGCACCTCTAATGGAGTCACAAACACTCTTGCAACAAGATGACTTAGGAGAGGGGAGTAAATTGTCTAGGACAACTCCAAGAAGTATAGGCCAATTTCTACATGTTAAGGGGTCTATTTATAGTTGAGGCTATTAGGGTTTTAAGGTGGAAACCCTAACTGCCTTGCTTAGGCCTTAAGCAATCCATGGAGCCCTTTCTAGAAGCCCCTTGGAGGAAATCTTTATGGGCTTCCCATAGATTTCGTCCAATCCGTTCTATTAGGAATCCATAGCCCAACTAGCAATTATCAGATAATTACAATATCAGTCCCCTTTTTTTAATCAGTCTCTTTTGATCACCAAATTAATTCCAAACTAATTTCCGATCAATACTAATTAAATAATATGATTTCCAAATAATATATTAATCTTGTAATATACTAATAAAACCATTTCGAGTACGAATTTATTATTCATATAATAAATTCTACTCTCTCCTCTCGTCATCCTATCAACTTGCATGAGTGATGATAGCCCAAAAGGACCATGCTCATAATCGGGTCAAGTACATACCAAAATAGTTATGGGCTTAGACACCTAATCCAACAGTCTCCCACTTGGATAAGTCTAATAAGTATTTTGCAAGTACGACTTAAGAACCTGATTAGCAATCGTAGCTTTCAAAAGCCGCTGTCGAACTCTGATCTTATCACCAATGCGTCCTTTAGATAAGGGATCATATATTCCTCCATTCTAGATATCGTACAGACATGAGACATTGATTATAATCATTCTCTCTGTCTATGTGTTGTTTCCTGATTTCCAATTCATGACGACTGACAACAGACTTCAGTTGAACACATCAACTTTGTCCAGGATTGGCCAAGCGCTTAGGGTGTCATCACTAAATCATCGAGGCGCCCACAAATATCGCTTTTATCCCTCTTAGGTTAAAAGGAACGGACAAACTTCGATTCAAATGCTTGCTTGTACTTACTCATCAAATCACACACAACAATATGTTTTATAACACCAAGTTACTGCTGTGTTTACATACGTCAATGTGCATACCAAAATAGTTATGGGCTTAGACACCTAATCCAACAATTGGTGCCTTCGACCCGCTAAACCCAGTGAGGAAACTCACCTTGCACTGCTGAATAACACAGATAAATCCGTGGCTGCTGGTCCGAGGAATCCCCGAGCTATCAATATCAAATAACATCCAATTAATAATTGGATTCCAATCTATAACTATCAATCCATAATTCTGGTAAATGGCTATTTTACACTTTACCTAGTTTGGACCAAGACTTAGGCCCAAACTCATAATCTAAAAGGCCTAATAACCAATTAATCATCTAAGGCCCAAACATGGCCCAATTTTCCAAATTGGGCCTAAACCCTTTCACGGGTCTTACCCCAAGGTCCAAAAAATATTTCTAGCCCAAAACACTTGAATTCAAATGGCCCAACAAAACCCTAAACATTTAGGCCCAAACCAAAGTCTAAATGATCCGAGGCCCACTCTGTTGAGTACGTTAGGCGTACTCAGCTCGTACACACATCGTACTTGCCTTAGGTTCTTGTTCATTTGATGATGTAATAGCAAAATGAGTTTATGAAATATACTCTACAAACCAATGGTGAAAGAGTTGGTGACAACATTGATTTTCGAAGGTAGTGTCTAAGGAAGGAGATGGTGACATCGTAGATCGATAAAGGAGGGGAAAGAGGAAAATGATGGTGACAGAGGCATACGGTCATTCGTGGTATCTAGGTCTAGATTTTAAGAGAGAAATTTTTATGAGAACGGATTTAGGATTAGGTGGTGATGCCTGGTGGCGATGGTGGAGCCACTTTAGGTTAGGGATTCCAGTAAACGATGTGTGATGGTGGCGTTGAGATAGTCTTAGGATTTCTCATTTCGACTTAAGGTAGAAGTGGGATGGTAGAGGGGCACCGGTGGAGGTAACGACAGCATCAAGAGGGTGGAGGCAGCGACAACATCAGGAGGCTGGTGGTTACGGAGGCCATCCAGAGATTGAAGAGGGTTAGGAAGGAGACAGAAAAAATTTAGGAGAAATGACGGCTGAAGATGTGTATAGGAGTTTAGGGTTTTCCACATAAATCGTTACAAATCAGATGTACGTGTATACATTTGTATTGCAAGCTTAATAAGATTGTACATGATGTTATAATAGTTGTACCTCTTAATTTTCAAGAAACATATAATCTGCTTTATATAGTAGTAAAGGTATATCGAAATACTTTCTATTCAAAACAATTACCATGATAAAGCATGCATCACACATGTTAAAGGTTGAATCCACATTACTAGAGGCATCTTGCTCCTCGTACATGAAAACTATCATCGATCTACTTTATTGGTACACACTTAATCATTGCATACGATCTTTATAAATACACATTTATGGTTTCCGCAAATGTTATCACTATGTACCTATTCTTCGTATCTTGTATATATCTTGGGTGTGACAATCAAATTGCTATACAAATTGCTCACAACAATGTTTTTCAACTAACATACAAAGCATTATGAGATTCAATGTCACTTTGCTCGTGAACATGTGTTTTAAAAAAAACCAACTAAACAATATGTGTGCCATATTTGTGTATGTACGTTGTTTGTGTATTGATATTGAATTTAGACATATTTTTGGAGCAATTTTCATGTTTTTTTTTAATTATTTTTTTGGATCTTTATATTGGAAATATATAAAAATTTACATCACTAGTTAAATTTACATTTGTTTCTAAAACTTGAAATCCTAAAATCATTTCATTTTTTGCAAGTTTCCACAATTCAATACAATCGTGTATAAGGGAAGTACGACTCACATGGTAATATCGCGGTTAGAGAGTATCTTGTATGAGTGAAGTCGATCACTTATTGTTGAAGTGGTCAAAAGACATGCATTTTTTAATCAAAAACTTCATCATCCTATCCCGAACTTTAGCCGCTTCCTAATTCCACAATGTAGTATCTTTCGTCATTATTGTTTGATTATGCCGCGGGGCAAATTTCACCGATGGGTATCTCTTGTTCATATGAGTTTTCAATGTTGAATTCTCTTCTTCCTTGCAAAAGGCACCACATTTCTTGTATCGCGCTTTATTTGGACCGCTCGAAATTATATAGAAATCATAATTTTCCTAAATCTCAAGATTTCTCTTTGTTTTTTTTATGCCAACAATGGTAATATTGCTTGATGAATCTCCAACACAAACGAAAGCCGAATCCATTGCTTGACTTGAGAGCATTTGTTGATCTAATAGAGTTTTTTAGTGGTTTGGTTAAGCCTCAACATCTAATACCTATATATATATATATATATATATATATATATATATATATATATATATATATATATACTATCAAGGAATGGCAAATATGGACAAAAGGGACCAAAATTCGAGCCGCTTACACCCTCAAACGGCTATATCGGTAACAAAATCTCCTGGAAAAACTGGTTTTAAACCGGTTCTCCAAGCCGGTTCCGACGAAACCGGTTCTAAACTAGTAGTAACAGTAATATTTTCGAATCGGTTTAAACCAGCGGTTCGGTTCATATTGGACTGGTTCATGGTTAAACGGTTTTCGATTTGTATGGGCTCGTGAACCGGTTTTTTGTGCAAGTCTAATTACAGGGGTGAAATGAACATTATCAAGGAACTTCAGTTTATTATATGTATTGATAAGGGTTGTAACTTGTAAGCATAAAGTGTAACCAACTTCGTCATGTCACACCTACGAAACATCGAAGATTATATGCATAAAGCATTCGAAGTTTTACTGTTTATTATGCGTATTTATATATTGGATATATACGTTTACAATCGTACTTCATAAATCTTGAAGCATGCTTAGATCCAGGACCAAACAAGAACGAAAAAAAATGGAAGAACATATATGAACATATGTTTCTTACATCCATCCAATTATTACAATTATTATATCAATCACTTGAAATATATATTTCAAATCTTACTTACTTAATCATGCACTCGAAAGTTATAGTTCATGCGAGTGCGGATTATTTCATATAGTATGCAACTTCAGTAAGGTTTCTCTCCAACATAGTTGCCGGGTGGATCATAGTTGCATGTCACGAACCATGCACCATTATTGCATTGAACCCTTGCACAACCAAGACGAACCGAATTACGCCAAACAACTTGAGTATAATGCCCACACATCTTTTCTGGAGCACAAGTGTTCGAATTATAATCATAATCGGCATGTTCTCCAACCCACAAGTTCACAGCATCTACACCAGTGAAGTCATATCCTGACCCGTAGGCAAGATTCTCACCGTAAGGACTGTTTTGGGAGTGCACCAACTGACAGTCACCACGTCTTTGATTGGCATAATTTTCTGCGAAACCAGCCACATTACTATCCCAAGTCATGGGCCCCACACCAACCTGAGCTCGAGCCTGATTATGAGCATCAACAAAGTCTTGTGGCGAGTTTTGGGCTAGGGAAAAATTAAGAATTCCCATGAATATAGCAAGAAGAAATAATGCGTTATTCCAATGGCCCATTTTTTTTTATTTTGTTTAGTGGCACAAAAAGGATGCTTCAAGCTTGTTGGAGTTAAACGGGTGATATGAGTAAGAATTTATAGGAAGATATTATCTAGAATATAGAATTCATATTGTGACGTTGTACATACATAAAAGTATGACATCATTCTAATTTATCTTTCAATGTAGACTTTTAATAATAACATAACGACACTTTACTAAAATTTCTTCAGTCGTTTTGGCGACCTATTCCATTATTTTTTCCACACAATGTGGCAATTCTTTGGATGCAAAATGAAAAATATATCATATAATTTTGAATGAATTATAGTTTTAGTCCCTGTGGTTTGGTAATATTCTCGCCTTTGGTCGAACCTTTACCAATAGATCTTATCATTGTGGTATGAGAAAATTATAGTGTTGGTCCTAATGCATATAAAAAAAGACTATTATACCATTTTTAACTTTTTTATATATACCTATTTATAATTTTTAGTAATAAAATTATTAAATAAGGATATACCTCCCCATACCCACCCACCCTTGTCGGCTACATCTCCAAACCACCGCCTCCATCCATTCCGCATATGTCACTACTCAAACCACCGTCTCCGTTCACAAATGACCCAAAACTAGAAACTTCCTCGTCGATCTGAATCTAGAGACCTATTGCTTCTCCGTTCACAAAATCTCTTTCTATAAGTTGTTGTCGAATTTCATTCTTTTTCCTATAAACCATACAAAATAACATATATTCATGGGTGACTCTCCTTCTCCTCCGCGTGTGACACACTTGTTCGCCATCATTGTTTCACTCTCCAAAATGATCAACATCTTCTCTCACCTATATGGAATTGGTGACGTTTACACCCCCTCATCTAGGCCACCACCATATTCTTCCTTAATCTCGATGTCTGTTTTGGCTCATCAACCTCCTCCATTTGAGTAAACTCTGTGGTGTGTGTTTGATTTCATTACATTTGTTACTACCCTTCTTCAATCACACAATTAAATGTAATGTATTCATGTAGACATATCATCGAACAGTTTGTAGTCGTTGTCATTTAGTATGTAATTTTTAATATATATACAACAAATCATAAAGGCTTCAAATGGGGGTTTTTCTCAAACAATCCACTTCATAAGAAGGAGGTGGGGTGGGGTTGGCGGGATGTAAGATGGGTTGAGATGAGCCAATAATCTATAATTTGTTTTATATTCTTTAATTATAAATTATAAATTAGTGAAAAAAATGTAATTTAGTCTTTTTATATGGACGAAAGACAATTAATTTAGTTTTCAAAATCCACAAGGATATAACCCATCAATTTTTTAAAAGATTGACCAAAACAAAAAATTTGACCAAAACTAATAAATTAATTATATCATAGGGACCATTTCTGTAATTCATAACTTGATTATAACTTTTTGGTCTTTTTGTTGTGTTATATTTTCCAATTGTTTTGGTGACTTATTTTTTCCCACACTTTGGAAATTTTTATGGATGCAAACAAAGAATCCATCATATGAATTTTCATACCACACATCCTTTCATAACGGCAATTGATTATAACTTTTTAGTCGTTTTGCTACAATTTTTTTCCACAATATGGAAATTCTTGCAGATACAAAAAATGAAGAATATATCATATGAATCTTTGTATGAGGCATCCTTCTACACCGGACATATATATATATATATATATATATATATATATATATATATATATATATATATATATATATATATATTATACTAGGCGAATCCCCGCGCGTTGCGCGAGAATAGAATTATATAGTTAAAATAATAACTTTTACCAAATTATTATTTAATATTTTTACTTTGAAACAAAATGTTAGTAGTAAAGCAAACATATAGTTAACATATTAGTTTTATTAAACATTATAGTTTAATTTTTAAGTTATCGTGATATATACAATTATTTGATAATTTTATAAACCGTTTAAAATTGTGTAAATTATATATGAAATAAATAATAATATAACGGGTAACAAAACGTATGAACAAAAATATGAACTGCAACTTTTAGTAACATAAAAATAGAAAAACATCTATTATAACATTTGTATTAAAAAAGATATATATACAACGAATAATAAAAAATATGAAAAATAAACACTATAACTTTTAATAACATAAAAACATTAAAACATCTATTATAACATTTATATTAACTCTTTATATTTAAATCACAAATCTCTTCAAATACATTGATGTTTTTAATGAGCAAAACTTTACAACCTTATAAAAGAAAGGAAAATAAAAAGTTATTAGTGATTACTAAATAATAATTATAAGTTAACAACTCTTGAGTTGTAACTAATAAATATACATAAATTAGAAAACTCTTGAGTTGTAGTGTGAGTTTCAAATGAATGCGGTACTTGGAAATGTATATTTATTATTATTATTATTATTATTATTATTGTTATTATTATTATTATTATTATTATTATTCGTCTAAATAATTGGTTTTGATGCATCATTTTAATCCCTTCACTTATTAAACATAAAGATATTTAATTATAAATTTATAACATACATATGTGCATATACATGTTAAACAAATCACATATAATATATATATTTTCGTAAATGTCATATGTAATTCTTGTCGTAGTAATATTGATAAATTACTTTCATATGAAGAACATATCATGATGAGTCTATCATAATTACATATCAAATGTTCAAAATTATGTTATCTTTTAAATATTGTCTTTTAAATATGTTGTGTAGGATAACCCAACAAAAAAATAATAGAAAATAACATAATCAAAATAGAAAAACTACAATCAAATAAATAAGAGCATTGGGTGGTTGAATATATAAATAAAGATGTTACATAAACATACATTTAAATCAAAAGAAAAAACTAACATTCGTCAACTTTGCTCAAACAAAAAAACATATATCCATTTTATGAATCTTCTTTCTTCATTTACACCATTCAACCATAGAAACTTGATGACAATTCTTCAGTAACCTGCAATCAAAATATTTTTCTTGAAAAAGAAGAATCAGAAAGATATTCCAAGCAAAACATTGATGTTTGGAGAGTCACATTCAAGATTGAGTAATACACACAAATCACATATAAAGATTAAATGAGAAACTGAATATAAAGAAAGAATAGAAAAGCTTCATTTGTTTTGCTTGAAAGAAAAAATCATATTACAATTACCATCGATGCGACATAACCCATTTCTTCAAATCATCATATTTGGATCGTGAATGCTTCAACTATATGAAAACTTTTGAATCACAATATATTCAAATCTTTCTTACATGTAAGATTTTATATAACACAAAAGACACAAAAGATTGGCCTTTTTATAATAAACTTTTCACTAAATGCTAATTAAACATAATATAAGTTATAAACTTTTGAGTGTTAAATCATAATTAAGAAAACTTTTGAGTTGCATTAGTTAAAAAAGGGGGGTTTCAAATGAATGTGGTTTGAGAAAGAAAAAAAAGGGGGTTTCAAATGCATGATATTCAAGAAAAAATGCTAGCTTTATAAGTATGTATGATATATATATATATATATATATATATATATATATATATATATATATATATATATTTCTTGAACAACACCAAGTAAGATAAATAAGCTTTGTTTATTTCTAGATATAGTTAACTGATTATTTATTTAAAATGATTATAACTTAAAGCTGCAACAAATATAAAGACATTAAGTTATTTGGTCATGTAAAATATACATAGAAATTAAGATTGTTTCTCCACAAGAGTTTATCCAGACATGGGAATGGGTGAATTGCTGTGACACAGTCCTATAAATGACTATATATATATATATATATATTAGAGTTTCCCCTTTTTTTCATAATGCCTTTTGTAGAGACACTGTACATATATCTCACATGGTATCAAAGTTAGTGTTTGCACCTTCGTGGCTTAACACATCCTTATCTGACCTCATCGAGCTTCACATTCTAAAGAGGGGGGGGGGGGTGTTCTTGAATCCCACATCGTTACGACATAGTCTCTTATGTCTTCATATATGTTGGAGTGTTCATGACTCTTTTGTTTTTGTAGAGACAACATTGGACTCCACATATGTTTCTCAAAGGTAATACCACAAAAATTTTAGGAGACAGACAGATTATTGGTTGCAACATGATAGAACAATATCATAAAATCAATATAGCTTCATGTTAAGGAGGTCGACATCTAGGGCGATCCACCTTCTTTGTTGAATTATGGAGAAATATAACAAATTGAATATGGATTTACATATGTTTTTATTGACCTGGAAAAGACAAAACCTTCATAAACAATATAGAGGACCTTCAATCCAAATGGGCATTGGAGATACATGTAATCGTTATTGACGATATGTATTGTTGGTCTTCAACATGTGTCTATATTCTTGCTAATGACATAAAGTCCTTCCAAATATAAAGTGGGGTGCATTATGGTTTGACTCTTACACCCCATTCTTGAGTTCAAATTAACGAGAGAAAAGAAAGGCAATGGATGGAAATAAGAAGAAAATAAAAGAAATTGGTGTTCCCGAGTTTCATTAAAGGAAGGAAGGAAGTGGAAGGAAACGGAGGGAAATGGAAGGATCACTTTCCTTCCTAACTTTCCTTCCGATTTGGGAGGAGTTGGAAAGAAAGAACAAAATGATTAATTTTCCTTCCACTTCTCTCCAACTTGGGAACAGAAAAGAAAATTTTGTTTTCCTTTCCTTTCTCTTCTTCCCTCTCCTGACTTTCTTTTCTCTTATTTTCTTTTCTTTTGTTAAACTCGGGAACAAGGAGTTAGTCCATATATCTTTGCTTTGATCATAGACGAGATCTCATACGAGATTCACATGATGCTTTGACGTTTATTATTTGCCGATGATAAAGTATTGGTGGTTGAGAATAAGTCAGATCTTAATGATATGTTGGACACTTAGTGACAATATTGTAGATATCAACACAATTAAGATGGAGAAAATGTTGCGATATTTTAATAGGGA